ACGTGTTAAAGAAGCAAGAAAAATATCATTAGAAATCCCAACATCAACATAAAACGTACAATACGTGTGATTTATGCCATCTTTATACACCTTTTGTTTAGTTTCTGCAAAGTTTCCAAGTGGACAATGTAACTTCTCCCATCCGCGGAGGAAACTATACAACAACTTCTGCTTCTTCTTTTCCACGTTCTCTTTTGTCGTTTGTTCGAAGCGCCCGCGAGCGTTATAACCAAGTTTTAAGTATTTCCATAAATTTATGCTGATTATTACGCGGGACTTATAATATTTCGAAATACCCCCGGTATGACATAATTTAATCCGCTTAAAATTCGCCGCGGAAACTTTTTCCGAAACGTTTTATCAAAACGCGTGTTTTAAAAGTTTATAAACGTAACTCATAAGAGGATTACGACGGGCGAGGGGGGGAAGAACACGGGAAAAATATTGAATTTTCTAGTAAACAAAACCATGCCGATTGAAGGGTGGCATTTTCGATGGATTTTCGTGATATAGTTGGGTGTATAACCAGCGGGTAATGCTTTAGCAAGCTTCAGGATGAATTAGAACTGTACAGAACAATTTTGCAAGCTTTATGATGAATTAGGATTGTTCAGAACAATTTAACAAGCTTCAAGACGAATTAGAACTATATAGAACAATTCAGGAATCTTCAGGATCAATTATAACTGTCCAGAAGAACTAGTAAAGCTTCAGGACGAGTTAGATCTGCCCAGAACAATTTTTAGAAATGCATCAGGATGAATTGGAACTATCCTAAACAATTTATAAAATTTCTAAATAATTTAGAACAGTATACGACCATTTAAAATGCACCTAGCTGACGAAAACTAGATAAAAAGTATCTAGAACAGCTCCACAGTTGATGATACTTTTATTAACCAAACTCCAGTTTCTTAACTACCGATGATTTTTTTTTTTCGATACTAATCCGGAGATTAAACGAAATTGGTTCGTGTCCTCTTAGCAAAACTTATATTACAAGAAACATAATCCCGCAGAAAATATCGGAATCGATATATATTGTGAAAAAACCGGCCGGACTTGATACTGGACGAGAGAGCGAACTCGGACGGAACGGTCAATTTCCGATTTAGCTCGAAATCACGAACTTTCCGAGAATCAATTTGATACAATACGCTCAATGTGCGGGGGCCCGCTCACGAAAAGCGGCCAGCAGACCGGTTAACTGGGAAACTTTTCTTAACCCCATTGTTTGGCGCTTTTAATCAAAATAATGTAATACTCCTATTTTTCGTGTTCTCTACGAGAGAAGAGAAGAGAAGACGAAGAAAAAAAAAACCACCCCGTTGAGAAACCTTTATGGGTTCCTTTTGTCGGACGAAAGAGTTAGTGCGCTCTCGAAAAATGCTCCGATATATTGTGAAATGGATCGGGATAACGGATAGAGCGCATTAGAGCCGCTCTATCTTAACACTCTATTTACTCCTGCAGTTCGGATTTAATGCAGTTATTGGCGCAATTTGGCCGATAATTGAAATACGATTCGCGCTCGTGAACACATAACCAATAACCGGTCCACGCAGCAAACTTGAGCAGAAAAAAATATTTGAACTACTGCTAAAGATGAACCAAGTTCTGTTTAGAACCGTTTAAGAAACTTCAGAATGCACAGAACAATTTTAAAAGCGACATGATGAAGTGTAGTACTTCAGAACAATTTATTTAAAAAGCTTCAAACAAGAATTAGAACTATTCAGGACAATTTGGAAGCAAGAATGAAGTCTTGTATTTAACAATTTAGAATGAGGTGAAACTATTCAACAATTTTAGAAGCAACAGGATTAGAACTGCCCAAAACAACTAATACAGCTTCATGTTGTGTGAGACCTATCAAGAACAATTTAGAAGACATTAGGATGAATTATAACAGTCCAGAACAAATTCACAAGCTTCAAAACAAATTAGAACCACCCAGAACATTTTAAGCAGCTTCACAATGAACTAGAAGAGCTTTAAAGGATTAAGAAAGCTTCAGGATAAATCAAAATAATTCGCTGTAAACTTTGGGCGCAAAAAAAATCATTTGAACTCGCATTATCGACCGCCGAAAGGAAACTTTTGATAACAACAACCTTCGGGCGAATAAATCAAGTCAACTCACCTGTATATACTTACGAAGAAGTAAGTTCTGAGTTGCTGTCGAGAGATACACGGTAGGTATCCGGTGCTCGGTAACAATTCGAATTGTACGGCGAGACGCGAGGCGCCTCCATCGAGTTTATTAATAAATTAACTCGAAGTTCAGTTTAGGTTCGAAAAGTATGGCGGGCGCCTCTAATAAAGTTACCCCGTACGAAATTCGCAAACTTATTAATAGAGTAATACGGTGATGGTTGAAGTTTGAAGTTTACGTCACGACGCCGTCGTCGAAAATGGCTGTTTGCTCTCACGTTTAGGGCCGAATAATTCGCCGTATTATTTTTGTTTGAATAATTCGCCGTATTATTTTTGTTTGTGCACGGCAACATACTATACGAGGCAAGCGAGTGTTGTTTCAAAGTAACTTAAATATACTTTGTGTTATTATAATAAATTGTTCGAGACAGTTCTAATTTATCCGAAAGGTTTATAAATTGTTCTAAACAGTTCGAATTTATCCTGAAGCTTTTTACTGTAAATTGTGCATCTGTAGTTAAACCTGAAGCGCTCTGAATTATTCAGGAACGTTCTAAGTCATCCTAAAGCTTACCAGATTGTTCTAAATTATCTTGAAACTTTATACATTGTTCTGAACACTTCTAACCTATCTTGAAGCTTTATAAATTGTTCGGAACAGTTCTAATTTATCCTGAAGTTTTGTAATATGTAATCTACTAGACAGTTGTAGTTCAACCTGAGTTCAGGAACGTTCTAAACCATTCTAAAGTTTACCAAATTGTTCTGAACAGTTTTAACTGACCCTGAAGCTTTCTAAAGTGTACTGAGCAGTTATAGTTCAAACAGAAGCGTCTCCAAATTGTTCTGAACATATCTAATTCATCTTGAAGTTAAGTTCATAAACAATGATTAATTGCAATAAATGAATTTCCGTTGCTATAATAAATTAATTACCTTCCTGCTACAATACGTTCTGATTCACCGGATTTTTCGGAATGTATACATACTCCCGGACTCGGGTAATTTATGGCAGGTTTTTTTGCGTCCTTCGATTTTTCAGCTAATGCCGACGAGATTCGTCCTGTAATTGATATTAATGGACGTTATAACAAACAAACAAAAAAAAAAGGTCCCGGATCCTGACACCGAGACGCCGGGATATTTTTACTTTTTCAGAGACGGGTATATCGTTAACTCTATGGTAAATTGCCTGTTTATAAAAGGAGAACTGACGTTAGGTTACTCGTCTAAAGCGCCGGATAAGTCCGTGTAATTTAGAAAATTAACCGGACGGCTCGCTGGATGAGCTTTCGGGCGCGCCGGAGGAAAATATTAAAGCTGCAGGTGCACGAGCAAAAGCGACAAGGAGAGATTAGTAATTTCTCTCTATATAGCCGGAAAAATTCGCGTATGTTATGATTTTATTGTTTGTGTAAATATTAATTAAATAAAAATTAAACTTAAACTTAAATTAAATTAAAAGTGTATAATGCTAGAGCTTTGGAATGTGTGCACATAAACTGTGTATATTATAACAGTAATTGGAATAAAATAATGCACATTTTTGTATTATTAATAAACGTTGTTTTGAAGCTTTCTAAATTGTTCCGGACAGATCTAATTCGTCCTGAAGCTTTCAAAATTGTTCAGAACAATTCTAATTAATTGTGAACATTTAATCAGTAAATTACGTGAATTAATGAAATGTTCTAATTCATCTTGGAGCTTCATGAATTATTCTGAACCCATCTAATTTATCCTGAAGTTTCTAAAAATGTTCTAAACACTTTCAATTCATTCTTTTTCTAAAAATTACTCTTTATACCGAGAAAAAATCGTGTATAATACGATTTTATTGTTGGTATAATATAAAAATAAATTGATTAGTATTGAAGCAAGTTATAGAGATAGGAAATTGTGCAAATAAAGTGTATATAATCGGAATAAAATAATGCATATTTTATGTATTATTAATAAACGTTGGTTTGAAGCTTTCAAAATTGTTCGGGACAATTCTAATTAATTGTAAACATTTAATCAGTAAATTACGTGAATTAATGAAATGTTCTAATTCATCCAGGAGGTTCATGAATTATTCTGAACCCATCTAATTTATCCTGAAGCTTCTTAAAATGTTGTAAACACTCCTAATTCATTCTTTTTCTAAAAATTACTCTTTAAGCGAGAAAAAATCGCGTATAATACGATTTTATTGTTGGTATAATATAAAAATAATTTGATTAGTATTAAAACAAGTTATAGAGACAGGAAATTGTGCAAATAAATTGTATATAATCGGAATAAAATAATGCATATTTTATGTAATATTAATAAACGTTTGGTCGCTATATTTATGTGCGAGTTTTTTAATACTCATTGACACTTTCCGAAAACCCTCCGGCTATTTTCGATTCCATAATTCAACGGGATTAAATTCGGGCAAATGGATTTTCCGAACGTATACACAAGCAGTACACATTCGCGTTATTCAAGCTTTAATGAAAACCGCCGAACGCGCCCGATTCCGATTAGATCTCTAAATAATATCCATAATGCCGGCTGAAGAAAACCGGCGAATTGCGCCCCTTTCGCACGTTCGCCTCGGCTGTATATTATAATTAGCCCGGATCGAAAATTACCTATCCCCTGAGCGACATTAATTAAAATTCAATCTATCATCCCCGTCTGGCTTCGCCTAGGCAAAGCTTTATCCCGCTTTCCACTCGACTTTAAACCCTCCTAGAATATGCACTTTCCATAAAAATTTTACATTCTTATCCTCGGTAGAAGCAGTGTAAATAATAAGTACTATAAATTCGCTAGAGTTACTGACTAAAGGGATGAATGAATGCACTACTTACCCCTAACGACTAATCGAACGGGATGGCTGGTGAGGGCGTCCTGCGTGTGAAAATCACTGGCGGTGACTTGGCACTCCCAACTGCCGTCGTCGAATTCCAATTGAGCCGCCCTTACCCAAATAGAGCAATCTCCGTTCTCCTGGCTCGAGCTCGCCCATTCGTATTTGTGCGGGTACATTCCCATCGGCTGGAAACCCACAATTAAATGTACTATTTCCAGGTAAATATCCGTATAATGTTGCAAAATGGCCCAAAAACAAAATAGCCCAATGACCAAAGTGTTTTTTCCTTTGTCTTTGGGCTATTTTGTCATTGGGTTATTTAGTCTTTGGGTTATTTTGTCTTCGGGTGATTTTTGTCTTTGGATTTCTTGCTTTTGGGCTATTTTGTCTTTGGGTGATTTTGTCTTTGGGTGATTTTGTCGTTGGGCGATTTTGCCTTGAAGCTATTTTGTCATTGGGCTATTTTGTCTTTGGATTTCTTGTCTTTGGATTATTTTGTCTTCGAGTGATTTTTGTCTTTGGATTTCTTGCCTTTGGGCTATTTTGTCTTTGGGTTATTTTGTCTTCGGGTGATTTTTGTCTTTGGATTTCTTGTCTTTGATCTATTTTTATAGTGTAATTAGTTGGTAACCTAGTGGTTATAATAACCTAAATTGACACAACATATCTACAGAAATCGGTCGAATATAGTGTTGATAGAAAACCCAGTAATGTAGCGATTTGTTAAAAAAAAATTCCATCGCCGGGGAAATCGAGTAGAATCGACATAATTTTTTTATTATTATTATATTTATTTTCGGGCCGTAACATCCCGCTGATAATGATTTATCGAGAGGGCTCGCATTATAGCGTCGCCGATGGTTGATTTATGATTTTGAATGTTTTATTCGGCCCCGGATCGAAAAAATTCTCCGGTTGATTGATGGATTTTTTTCCGAGGTCCCGGCGATTCGAGTGCGGCTTTCCGTTCGATTTACGGTAATGAACGGGAATCGATTTTATTGGATACTTTAATTAATTAATAGGTCACGGCGCGAGCTTGCGAAGCGAGCTCGTCGAATTTCCGTGGAATATTCCCTGAGGTTTCTGATTCCTGCGGATTTATCGAAATGAAATCGAAAGGGACGGTGTAAAAAAAGGACGATAATTTATGCAAAACGGGGGCGCGACAATTGCTAGGAAGTCGATATTTCCTCGAACAGATGTCGCAGTATTTTTCGCCGGATAAATCCCTGTGAAAATATGCGAATGGGTTATATAGGAAAATTTGAGAAACGGCTTTTCTGGATTTTCACTGACCACGCACATTCCACCTTCTGCCCAAAGTCATATTTATCCCTCGCTTATAAAAGAAAAATTAGAAGAAAGCTGGTAAAAAAAATAATTTTCTTCCAAGAATCTTCCAAGAATTCTTCCAAACTCGCCCTAACTGTTTAGGAACTTATTAGAAAGTAGTTAGGAACCCATAGTCATCAAACGTGAACAATCATCATGAATTTTTCGTGTGTCGAACGGTTTGGAAGAAAAAAATATCGAAAATTCCGGCTTGTTTTTTTATTTGCAACATCTGTTCGATCGCATTCGCTGCTCCGGATTCCGTTCGTCCTTACGTCAGCCTTTTTAACGCGCGCTCGCGTCCTAACAAGGGAATAAAAAGGACATGTCCAAACAAACCTGCATGATATTCCTTCCGCTTTTTCCTCTCGCCGTGTGTTCGATCGAATATTATGATAATCGGTAAATGCACGCTCGACTAGCGAGAAATTTATTTAACACGTCGACCGCCAAGGATTTTTTTTGCGTTTTCTACGAGTAATAAAATTAATTCATTTCCTTAACTGTGCCGTAAAATACAAGCCACAGTAGCTCGCAGAGCAGGTCCAAAGGGACCAACATATTGTTGCTGGAGTGAGGTTCAAGCTGGTCAAATGTTGGTCCCTTTGGTCGCTTTGAACCAACATTGGTCCTGGAGCAAAGTTCAGCTGGTTCAATTACACCAGCTGAATTTGATTCAATGTTGGTTTAAAGGGATCAACAGGGGTCCTGAAACAAATTTCAACTGGTCCAATTGGACCAGCTTAATAGACAATTAAGGTAGATTAGAGTAATGGATGAGGATTTCTTTTTTCACTTAGAGCAGTCTTTTGTGTGCCAGTATGTTGGTAATTTGGCGGGATTTTACCTTTGTAATAAAGCGAATGCGCGATTTCATCTCGTAAAATTGCCGGTTTTAGAATGGAAATTAATTCTTTGTGAGATTTTTGATGTTTACAGAACGTTCGAAACGGAATTTTATATATTTTATCTCGCTTTTTACAGTTTTAAACTTCCGTTAATTCAATAGTTTAGTGGAATAAATTATACGGGTTTTTCAATAGCACATAATTTAGATTTTTAGATAATATCGCAACATTAATTTCATTCAGCAATCGCTTCGATTCGATTTTATGTGCGCCATTTACAATTAGAATCAACGTGATTTACTGTTAATAATTGACGATTTATTATTAATAATTAAATCGGAAAAAAAATCATTTGATATTCATCCACTGTTTGTTCAACTAATGATTGTTAGCCTACCGAACATTCGTAAACGCGATTTGTTCACATTAAATAAATCGTAATTTACTGATTAAATATATTCACAAAATTTATCACCATTGTAGTTTCTTGGCAATTTAATAATTCCAGTAACGTTTGACAATTTTAAATAAATAAATAAATAAATAAATAACTGAAAAAGCCGGTTTCGCTTTATCGTTTGACGATTGCAAGGAGGATACGGAGAGCGGTGAAAATTTAATATTCCAATGCTAATCCTCGAGAGATGTTTCTGGATTTCGACCTCAATTCTAAAAACCTTTTCTGTATTTCTCGCACTCGACGATTATTCGTCTCCGCTTTTAGCAAATTTCACTTACATGTGGGCACAGTATACATACATATACACATACAGGATCATGCAAGAAGTCTCAAAAATAGTTATACAAGGGTAAGGTGAAAAGTTCTCGATCGCCTAGAACCATTTAGGACGCTCTAGAATCGATTAGTACTGTCTAGAACCATTTAGAATATTCCAGAGATATTTAGAACTGTCTAGAACCATTTAAAACGCTGTAGAAACATTCTCAACGCTCCAGGATCAATTAGAACTTAGAACTGCAGTCTAGAACCATTTAAAACGCTCCATAATCATCTAGAACGCTCCAGAATCATTTAGAACTATCTCGAACTAAATATTTTAACTTGACCGTTGTATTAGGTACCAAAAAAATAGTGTATTGCAGTTTAAAAATAGTTTAAAGCAGGAATAGACACTAACTGACGCATCGATTGAAGGTTTTATAATGGCTACAATTTTAAGGAGGCTTTTGTTAATTAACCGGGTAATAATAACGGAGCGGGTTATCCAAATAACCCTGTATAAACGTGTACATGGAACCGAATGCGAAGCAATAAAGAACTGGGTACATTAAATATTCAGGGAGTCGAAGCGCCGGCCACCGAGTGTGCCGGGCATCGCCGTGCGAGAGCCCGGGGGTCATTAGTATTCCTTTCTGCTCTCTTTAAACTTCGACGAGCGATTTTCGGCCAGAAATTGCGCTCCGGTTATTTCCTCCACTTTGCTCGTCATCGGAATAATCATTGCTATTAGTCTCTGAGAATCGATTTTTCGCCTCGTCTCGATTATTTTATGTACATAGTATCTGCCGGATTTTATATCTGTGTCCTTTAATTTCGTAGTTTGGATGGGATAGGATCTTGAATGGAATTGATAATACCGAATTATTGGAAGATTGCTGTTAGAGGAAATAACTGGTAAATGTTTCCTGGAATTTTTAAAGTTCCTACTAAGCTGATGAAAATGTTTTGAAAGGTGAGTTTCAGGAAATGGCAAATGGAAGAATTTTATTTAAAGAATAAGATTTTTTTAGTAATTTCTTCAGTTCTTTTTCTTCAAAATCTCCCCAGATGTTCTCCAGGAACTTCTCTAACATCCGTACCAAGCATTTTGTCGTGGAAAGAGGTAATTTTAGAGTATTTATTATAATATAAATAAATATGTAAATGAGCGAAAAACATTGATTGTAAATTGTAAATGAAATCTATCGAATCTATAAGTGAAACGAGTTCGCAAAACAACCCCGAAATCGATATAGGTTTTCGAGTTTACGATACGGCCCGCAGTGACACATTACTTTACAACCGATATTTATGTTGTTTTTATCCCAGAACAGTAAAGTTAACCACTAATGGACACACGCGAGCTCGTTCTTTCCGTCGAAATCCGAATTTACTGCGCGCTTTTTTTATCGTTCCTCCTCTCTATTTCGAACTTCCGTTCGGATCCGATACACTTTATGCGACTCAAAACAATGGAAACGACACACCGTGCATTTTCTGCATCTCTCTGAAATCGAAAAACCCCCGATAAATTCTCCGTTCCTGTACCTAATATCGTGCATTTTGAATTATGCGGCTAATCCAGAACTCTGATTGGTTAGTCATTACTCAGCAAGAGTTCTCACTGATAAGATTTAGTCACAATCGAGCTTTCTGATTGGACATACTGATGACATCATCACCCAACGAGGGCTGTTATTGGTTCATACAAACTTTAAGGGTCAATGGAAGTTGTAATTAAAATTGAAGAATCTCTGGAACGAGTGGGATCGAAGGTGACTTAAAAATTCTGGAGGAAAGGATTGATAACTGGCGCCTTATGCTCCGGTTAATCCGGAATTGTCTTTCGCAGTCACACTTTTAGCATATTGCCTGGAAGCCCGGGAGGTTTTTTTTTGTGTACGTTTTATGGTCGATATATTTTCGAGTTTATCTTCCGTGACAAATAGGGCGCTGCTTTCTGGGAGATTTAACAATTTTTTTTGAGGATTTTTCGGTTGATTTTTAACTTGTTTCTATCTAACTGTGTGAGGGATTTTCGATGTTTTAATTGACCACAACAATGTTGAATTGTTTCAGGTAACTGTTGAGTTGTTTTCTACCGAAATAAAATCGTGGAGATAACGAACTCTGAACGTATATTATAAATTGTTATGCGTGTAAATACCGCAAAAACTTTTTCAATTCAGTGAAGTTCCGGATAATTCCGGGAATTTTTGTTCTGATAAAGTTTACTTTCGGGAAAACCAAACATATATCTGCTGTATAAGAGGGGTTTTCG